CTGTTTATCACTTGACTTTGCAATGTCTTTGGCAACTCTATGTGCAGATTCTAATGTGAAAAAACTGGGTAATAAAAATAAAAGCACTTAAATCCTCATAAGTAGACTATTCTAAAAAGCCTCTGATTCTACAAGTTGAGGTCTTTCCCTCCCCCCCCAAATTATAGGAGTTTGGCAGGGAAAGCCTTTATCATAGCTTGGTCTATCATGTAACCTCTTTCAATAGTTTCAACTTCACTTTCTGGTTTTTCATTTTTACCCTCAGCTAAATTAAGCCCGGCCACAAGATCCGCCACAGCTTACCGTACTCTATCTTTCTCTATTTTAGCAAATTGGGCAGTATTACAGGCATTATCTTCCCTCAATTCAGACAAGCAGTATTTACATGTCCATTTTCAGCTGTTCAAACTCTGAAGTTTCAACAGTTTGAAGAAATAACTGTCAACAATAGCCTATGCCAAATTTGTTTTTGTTAGAGCGATTTCCCTCCAGCTCTACAAAGTCAGGAGATTTTTTTTAATAAACTTGAAATAACATAAAATTTTAATTTGGTTAAAGAATGTATCCAAAAAAGTATGTCCAACCATCTAACTATGCATTATCAGCATTTCCTACATTGACCTTGATTCAGGTAGCAAGAAAACACTGCCCAGGAGAATCCAAGCAATCAGGAAAACAGGAATTGTAACCTAGGTAACTAACAACATCTTCCTCCCCCGCCCCCCCCCCCCACCACACACACGCCAAGCACCTGCCAGCCCACAGAACTCCAAACAAAGCATTTCTGACTTGTCAGTGAAAAGTTCTTGCCAAAACCACCGTTTTGTCATAAATTTTGGAATTAGCCTATGTAGAAAATTAGGTACAAAGATAATAAATTATATCTATTCCTCTTATGTACACAACACAAAACACATCTCAAATGGATGTTTCTGAGATGCACATGTACAGGAAGTCAGTTAATACACTGTTAATGCCTTGGTGATCATTTTTCTAAAATTAGATTATCAAGCTCCCAAAAGAACCCATTAACCTAGCATTAGGCATCGCAGACTATGTAATGCTTTGGGAAGATCTCTTTTTCTGTGTGTCCCAAGATCCAGAACTCACTCTGCTTTCTTCAGCACTGGAGACCGCTTTGATTCACTTTCACCATTAGCTTCTGTTACACTTGCTACTTTTAGCAATGCCAAAAGAGTTCACTAATTTCCTTCCAATGCCTTGGGAGTTTCCTAGGTCTGATTTGCTAAACATACATCACATTCCCAACTATGTTATATGGTATGCTACCAGTTAGCTTTTTGTTCACTGCTTTAGGAAAAGGAAATGTGGTCCCAGTATTTCAGCATACAATGTAAACCAAGTGAATGAAACGGGATCTGAAAAGAAAACAACTAGATAGAGAGGGGAATCCTCTTCTTATTACCCCAAATCAATGAGCAGTCCGGTGGCACCTTAAAGACGAACAGATTTATTTGGGCACAAGCTTTTGTGGGTAAAAAAACCTTTGTGCCCAAATAAATCTGTTAGTCTTTAAGGTGCCACCGGACTCCTTATTGTTTTTGTGGTTACAAACTAACATGGCTACCCCTCTGATACTATTCTTATGACTATATTTCTCAACTATCTTTTCTAGCCCTTATTCATAACGTCCAAATAAATAGTGCATACGCTAGAAAATACAAAAAACAGCTTAAAGGACACATGCAAATCGAGAGCTATATAGATCGGTTTCCTGGAGCATTCAAGTATGAAAATAGTTTAAGCGTGCAGTGCATCTGACAAATTTTACTTTCACAACAAAGATCCATATTCGAGATGGATCAGCCATTAAGATATTTTAAAACAATCTGAATAGTTAAAAATTGGTCACAGGACCTATCACAATCTCAGGAATAATTTTAATCTTTTATCAATATTTTTATTACCAGTGCCCTTTGAGCCAGTCACACAACCTACAGGGAAAAGCAAACATCAAAGGACGTTTTTTTCTCCCCAAGCCCCATGTTTCTGGCAACTAATCAGAAGCACAAACACCATCTTCAGTTGATTCTGACTTCAGCTCAGCAATGCTTAGAGATGCATTAAAAACCCTGCATGGAAAATCATACAGGCCACAGGCACAAACAGCGGGACAAAAACCTCGGTCCTTATCCAGGCAGAACTCCCACTGTTATCAATGGAAGTTTTGACTGAGTAAAAACTGAAGGATTTTGCCCTTCTTTGGAGGAAAAAACAAGGTAAAGTTATACCTATTAAACTAAATATCTTGAGTAGCAGCCACATATTGTGACTAGGAATCACATGTAGTACATGGGCAGGAACTGTAAACAGCAACTGATAGATGTATCAACAACTGTGCTATTTCATTTCTAATGCCATTTTTACCATTCTCTAGGATGGGATGCCCAACCTGAGCCTGAGAAGGAGCCAGAATTTACCAATGTACATTGCCAAAGAGCCACAGTAATATATCAGCTTCCCCCCGCCAGCTCCACCCCTGCCCCCGCTCCCAGCGCCTCCCGCCCACCGGCAGCCCCGCCAATCAGCGCCTCCCTGTTCCTTCCCCGCACCTCCAAATCAGCTATTTTGTGGAGTGCAGGAGGCTCTGGGTGGGAGGGGGGAGGAGCGAGGCCATGGCAGGCTAAGGGGAGGGAAGGGGTGGAATGGGGGCAGAGCCAGGGGTTGAGCAGTGAGCACCCCCCCGCACATTGGAAAGTTGGCGCCTGTAGCTCCAGCCCCGGAGCTGGTGCCTATACAAGAAGTCGCATATTAACGTCTGAAGAGCCGCATGTGGCTCCAGAGCCACACATTGGCCACCCCTGCTCTAGGACTTTAGAGATAATAGAGATAACAGCTTTGATTCTGTCCTGTGTTAGGCAGGCTCCTGACTGCATATCCTAGGCAGCTGGGCTCCTGATGGAAAAAAGTCTACCTGGAGGAGAGCTGAACTGGGGTGCAAATCACCCAACAACCCACATTCCACTAATAATTAACAAGGTAATGAAATCCTGTGATTGCCCACATTTAATCACTGGCTGAATGAAACAAGCTTTTGTGGATAACTGCCGCTATTAATATATTGTTGCATTATATCTAAAACATTTGTTTATTTTAAGTCCTGTGATTTGTATGACTTACATGGCACTGAAAGCCATGCCCACACTAATGTGTACCAAAGAACAGAACTGTTTCATTGGTAGATTTCCAAGTATTTTAATCTGGACACTTAGAGAAAGCAAAATATGTGTGGGGGGGGAAATTGTGTAATATTTACTAGGGTTGTGAGTTTGTCATGGTGCTAAAAGTATTACCAATACCATGACTTTCTTGTGTGTGAATGACTTTAAGAAAGCAGCGTTTCCCAGACAATGGTGGATCGCCTGCCCAGTACAGAGGGAAGACCCTGGAAACCAAGCCCACACCAGCCCAGTGAGGAGGGGAAGCCTGGGAGGAGGGCCTGGAGAGCGAGTCCATCCTGCATTCACCCCATAGCAATGGCTCCTGACCCGCAGGGCTGGGCCTGGCTTCCCAGTCCTGGAGCATGCAATCGTATCATCACTCACTTAAGTTTTGCCTGGCCACCGTCCTGTCATAATGACAGAAGGGGTGACTGCACCAAATGTGTGTGGCACTGAGACCCCGTGCACAAAGTCACAACACCTGTAGCGGGGAGCTGGACCCAACCCCATGGGACAGGAACCACCAGTGTGGGATGGGCTCATTCTTCCATTCCCTCCCGCCCCAAGGGCCTCCCCTACTCGCTGGGCTGGGCTTACTCTCCAGGTCTCTTCCCTCCCACCCCCCCTTCACATGGCCTCTCCTCCTCCTCCTCAGGCAGGGAATAGAGTACCAGTGCCAGGGAATAGAGGTTACTGCTGCAGGTGGTCAGTGCACCCTTGGTAGGGTGAAGCGGCTGCAGCAGTGGAGAAGAACACTAGCATAGTGTTTGAGTTTGTATCCTGGGTGGGTTTTTCCTTGCGGCGGTAGACAGACTACTGTGGAAGTATTTATGTATGTTGCATTTAAAGAGGCATAGATAGTTGAACTTTCATATCCATGATTTTACACACCATTTCCCCTGAACCCATGACTATAACTAAATTTACCATGACCACTCCATGACTTTGCATAAAGTATGCTGTGACAAATCTGCAGCCCTAGATACTACCCAACCCTTCAAAATGGAAGGACTGACATTAAAAGAAACAGTATACCCTAGATAAGAGCTACATTTCTTAAAAACTTTATTGTTTATCTAATTTCAAGAAACTGAAAGTTCAGGAAATGTAGGAATCTATAATAACAAGGTGAGAATGTTTCTCTCTCCCACCATTACTTCTGTCATGCCTATCACTGTAACATCCAAGTGTTAACAACACTCACAACACTTTCCATTACTTGCATCTGAAGAAGTGAGGTTCTTACCCACGAAAGTTTATGCTCCCAATACTTCTGTTAGTCTTAAAGGTGCCACAGGACCCTCTGTTGCTTTTTACAGATTCAGACTAACACGGCTACCCCCCTGATACTTAACACTCACAAAGTTAGCAACACTGTGAGACTATTATAATTTACAACTGAGATTTAAGACCCATTACAAGTTCAAACAACAGACACTATGAAAGACACAAAGTCCATTTGCAAATGTAAAAATCTTTTGTGCAAAAACTGTAAAAATCAAATACAACTAAGGTACAAAATTAGGAAGAAAAGAGGCAAGAGAGCATTTTTTTGAGCCTGGTACATATTGTGCTTTATATCCAGCTTCACTGACTACAGTTAGTGAGTATTAACATTAATTGCTAATGATATAAGTACTGTAGCATTAATGTCATGGACATTTCAACTTTATTATAAAACACAATGTAATATGTCAGAATACTTTTATTTTTAACTTATCTATCCAGTGACACTTGAATGAGTTTTAAAGTGTATAAAGCAGTTTTATAAACTGAGATGAGCTCTAATATCTATGGTTTAAGTTGGGTTTTGCTTACCTTTGCTCTTGTGGATGCTCTTCCACATCCTCCTCAGAATCAGCCTAATGAACAGAAAAAATACTGTGTAAGGATTTAAATATCATAACAGTGTACAGTGGAAAGGTACTGTGTGCTTCTAATCCCACTGAAATTGACACCATCATGATTCACTAGTAAAAAGTCAGAAATTATAAAATAATAAAGAAGCTCCATTCAGTACAAAGAAATTCTACATACTTAAGTAATTAAACAACATCTAGCCAAGATTTAGGATTTTATTGCCACTTGGCATGGTTAATCCATTATCTTTTCCAAACTTCCATCTAATGTATTTATTTCTGATTGTACAAATGCACATATTCGGAATTTTATGCACATGTACAATTCAAATGATTAAAAGCACACAGAAAGAATTAAAGATAAACCAATATCAACATTAAAAACTCAGAAATCATAAAGATCAATCAGTTCCCCTCAAAGTATTTGTGCTCATGCAATGCATTCATTAACCAAAGTCTGAGGAAACAGACCACAAAACACCTTGAAGGTCGACAAACTCTGGCATTTGTCTGACCAAAGGCAGGGAAGCAAATTCCTAAATCTAGGACTCTCCAATGAACACAGAAGCCCACAAACATTTCTAGGGCCTATGAGCTCAAGCATCACAGGTGATCTCAACTGCTGAAATAAAACACGAGAAGAGAAATGGTCTCCAAAATATACATGGCACAAATCATGACAACTTGTATTTCAAAACACTTTGATTTGCATACTGAAGTGAAATAGAGCTTTCTTTGGTTTAATATGCTTGTTGCAAGAAACCCCTTTAACTGGGCAAATAGCTGTGTTCTGAACCAGCTGAAGTTTCCAAGTGGTCTTCTGGTGTAGTGCAAAACAGGGTGCAACAATCCAATTTGCATTGACAAAGTAAAGGACAACTTTAGTTAGATTAACATTTTCATGAAAAGGTCAGTCATCTTGCTAAGCACAAATGATATGAAGTTTTCTTGGTTACAGAAGCAACAGCTGAAAGTCCCACAAGATACTCAACTTGCAAACCTGAACAGCAAAAAATGGGAAAACGCCACATGATGAAAAGAAAAGATAGAACTTTTACGACCAGCTGTTTCCCCAGTCTACGTCTAATCCAAGATGAACCTCTGTTCAAGCTCCAATTTTGGCTAGACACTGGAGAAGGGATTAACTATCATCGAGGTCCAATAAAATGGAAACTCAGAGCTGTGGGGCAACAAAGCCCACCCAGCTTCACAAACCTACTGAACAGTGTAGCAGAAAATAATCGCTGAAGAGATGTGCAGCTGCTCAGTATTAGCCAGTGGCCTACGAAAAGAGGAAAAAGACAAGCACTCAGATACAATTCTGTCTATCTTTGCCAGTGTCAGTAAATGCATCAATACATCATTGGTAATAGCATTAAAAGCATCGGATAGATTTTATTTTTTAAAGGCAGCACAGACAGCTCATCATTGTCCATCCCAGAAGCAGATCGTCAACAAATGAGACAAGTGCAGTCTTCATACCATATCCAGGCCTGCAACAAGACTGACAGGAATTAAGAAAATCCGAGGACTTCAAAACCTTTTCATAATCTTTCCTTTAAAAGGGAGGCTAGAAATTCAACCTCATCAGAGGGTTCTTCAGCATCAGCATAACAAGAGATGTTAGCATCTGAAACTCCTGAAGAGGGATTGACAATCTCCTCTGATAAATGAGCTAGCATCTTCCCCCACTAGACTTAACCAAGTCGGAAGGAGATAAATCCAGTTTCCCAGTGTTCCCTATGCATTTCAGAACCTCCATGAGACTTCAAATTTTAATCCCCCCAAAATAGCTAAATCACAACAAAGGCTGGTAATCCAGTCTGATTCTAAGTGGTATTATCCACAGCTTTTAACAAGCGTGAAAACCTAAAATCTGATTCTGTGTTGTCTCATTCTATATCTCCAGGCTCTCCACCATTCTTTAACAGTTTTACTGTTCAGGACTTCACATTTGTTATGGTGGTGGCATAACACTTCGAACATTCATGACTTGGAACATGCCTTCTAGCTCTAACATTATCTTCCATCCTCTAGCTGCCGAATGATATCAGCAAGGTGGATAAAAATCAATGATTTTTTTTTAATAAAAAAATCTGTTTTTAATCGTATTTTTTTGATAAAATGCTTTTTGAGGAAAAAATATCTAAAGATAGTTTTAATTAAGATGAGATATATTTGAGCTATAATGTATCATGGAATAGGGATTATAAATTCTAATTCTATAGTATGAGACAATATATTTATGTAATGTTTAAGAAAAGTTTTGTAAATGAGTTCTAATAGTTCAAGGATTAGGGACCCAATCTTATGGGGTTTTTGTATAGATTATTTAGGTTAATCTTTCTATCTATCCAATGGGACTCAGTGCTCAGTCTAGAACAGGGATCGGCAACCTTTCAGAAGTGGTGTACCTAGTTTTCATTTATTCACTTTAATTTAAGGTTTCGCGTGCCAGTAATACATTTTAACATTTTTAGAAGGTCTCTTTCTATAAGTCTATAATATAGAACTAAACTATTGTTGTATGTAAAGTAAATAAGGTTTTTAAAATGTTTAAGAAGCTTCATTTAAAATTAAATTAAAATGCAGAGCCCCCTGGACCAGTGGCCAGGACCCGGGCAGTGTGCGTGCCACTGAAAATCAATTTGTGTGCCACCTTTCGCACGCATGCCATAGGTTGCCTACCCCTGGTCTAGAAGATACCATCAGAGAGGCTTAATTTTGCAGTTCTCAAACTGTGGATTTGTGTCTCCAGAGATAACATGCTTGTTAACAGCAAACATGTTTTTAAATAAACAATATATAGATGTGAGAAATAACAGATTTAAACCATATTGTCCCTCTGCAAATTTGTGTACAGAGTCAATCCCTTACCTCTCTCTAAAAGTGCGAAGTTTTAAAAAGTTCAATGAATAGAAGATTGTTGGGGGCAGAATAGATCTGGACAAGGAGAAGAAGTCTGGAGATAAATATGAGAAAGGAGGGACAGGCAGTAGAAACCAAAGTGAAACTGTTTGAGCAGCATATTCCAGAAGTCTTGAGGTCTTTCTGAGTGTAGCCTTCATTGATTTGAGATCTACCATACCATTCTCTCACTAGAAGGGAAAACCTATCATGGCAGCAGGCCGTAAAAGTGACCCAGTTTGGGAAAAAGAACCATTCAAGAAATATGTGTTTGCTGATGATGTTTTAAATAAAGTCAGACCAGGGAACTGGTGGAAGTCACTTAAGCACTTTGATTCAGAGACTGTTGAAGTGATAATCTCACTTTTAACAGCAGTAGCTTCTTCTGCTGGTGTAAAAAGAATTATTTTCTTCCTATGGACTAATTCATTCCAAACTGAGAAATGGTTTGGGACCTGAAAAAGCAGGAAAGCTTGGTTTTCTTTTCCAGATTATGAGCAAACAGGAAAATGAAAGTGAAGACGACTGAGTTAGCTGCAGAAGCCAATATTTTAAGTTTATCATGTTGACCTGGCTGACATAGTTGATTTAATTTTTTTTTAATATTTCATTTAACTATTTTAGTTAAAAACCATTTTAACAAAAATAAACCTGATTTTAAAAAACTTGGATGTTTAACTAAATTCAAAAACGTATATGCTTGTTTTGTTAAAAATATTATGTTTGCTGTTGAAGAAAAAAATCCAGAATAAATAATGTTGTTGTTTTCGTTAAATAAAACAATTTAAATGTCTGTCTGGTGATGTTCTCCTCCTAATACAGCATGGCAAGAAAATCTTCCAAATATTGATGATTAACCTGTTGAATTGGAGATAGTTCACCTCCCAATGACTTCATAAATATCTGCTTCATTTACCTTTGGTAAATGAAATAACCAAACAACCATTCATTTTCTGATATAGCTGTAAAACTAATATGAAAAGTTTTCAAAATACATCACTTTAAAAATATATAGTGTGTACCTTCCAAAAATGAAACCTACATCTATCTCTTAGTTGTGAAGGATATATATTAAGATTATAACAACCAACAAGAATGCACTTTTATATAAAAATCCATGATTAAATCAAGTCTTCCTGACTAGTGATTTAAATCAAATCCACCCTGGCTCTCAGTATATCATCATTATCTGGGAGGAACATGCAGGGAATGAGCGTAACTAGACACACTTCATTGACAATCTAGGATAAAAAGATAGCCTGGTAGGACAATATGTTATCTAGGGGGTTGCCAGTCTGAACAGCCATTTCCTGACAGCCATCTGAAATCTAACTTGTTCTGGAGGTAGACCAACAAATGAGAGGTGCCCTGACCTCACAATGGAGGTGGCAATGGTATTGTCCATGACAAGAGTGTAATCTCTTCCCTCCAAAACTCATTCAAAATCAAGATCCAGTGTATACACAGCTGTGTGTATTAGGCTAGAAAGCACATGGGGGAGTCCCATATTTGGCAGGGTACCCATGAGATTCTGAGCTAACACTGGATAGTTTCTGTATTATCTGTATAAACCATCAGTCACAACCACTCCAACACTGCATTAAGAGGAATATAGTACAGTAGAACTTCAAGAGTTACGAACACCAGAGTTACGAACTGACCGGTCAACCACTCACCTCATTCGGAACTGGAAGTATGCAGTCTGGCAGCAGCAGACACAGACACAGACACAGACACGGAAATACAGTACCGTGTTCAATGTAAACTACTAAAAAAGTGAAGGGAAAGTTTAAAAAAAGATTTGATAAGGTAAGGAAACTGTTTTTGTGCTTGTTTCATTTAAATTAAGATGGTTAAAAGCAGCATTTTTTCTTCTGCATAATAAAGTTTCAAAACTGTATTAAGTCAATGTCAGTTGTAAACTTTTTAAACAACAATCATAACGTTTTGTTCAGATTTACGAACACTTTAGAGTTATGGACAACCTCCATTCCCAAGGTGATCGTAATTCTGAGGTTCTACTGTAATTCTCAACCAAGGACTTCAAGGGTGGCCTGCACATCCTCACAAGCTCCTCTGACTCAGATTGAGCTCTCTTAGGGTACACCTACATTGCAAAACAAAACAAAATTAAATCCCACAGCAGCGAGTCTCAGAACCTGGGTCAACTGATTCAGGCTCATGCTATGGGGCTAAAAATAGCGGTGTAGACATTCCCACTCAGGCTGGAGCTTAGGCTCTGAATCCGAGCCCAGGTGGGAACATCTACACAGCTATTTTCAGCCCCATAGCTCAAATCCCACAAGCCAGAGTCAGTTGACCTGGTGTCTGAGACTCACTGTCGCAATTTTTTTAACAATGTAAACATAACCTAAGTTGAATACAGCTTTAAAGCAGAAGACCATATACATTCAATGTCTGCTTTAACTGACTTATCTGGCCTAATGACGTACTGCAATGTCACCCAGCCAAGTCTCAGTTATACATGCAGCACCAAAAGCTTCATCAGCCCTCAAATGAGAGATGGCAATTAACCTCATTAGCCACAGACACTACATTAAACAACATGAAGCGAAGTTAGGACCCTACCATCTGGCACCCTGTGCGCCAAAAATAATATTCATCATCATCATCCCAGACCTAACCAGGCCACTGATGTTAAACAACTAGCACCACTCTGTCCCTGGGAGTCTCACCCTACCTAATCTCCCTCACTTGTACTTTAATCGGCTATAAAAATGTATGATTATTGCATTCCCTTTTATTCCGGTTTATTCCAGCACCCTGAAAATGCTCTGTGTAATTTAATATCATTTTTGTAGAAATCTGCTAATACTTGTAAACAGAGACAAATCCACACTAGCAACATCTTTTACAGAACATCCTGCTGGTCTATTATACTTAATTTATGTCCACAAATGTGACAGAATATAAACTCCCCCACAATTTTAAAGTAATTTAAGATATATATGCTACCGACACCACAAAGGAAAAGTTCAGTGCAAACTAACAGTGCTTGATGACTTAATTGCTGGCATCTTCAATGTTTATAGCCATAACCAGGATTTATTTTTAAATTGAAAAAAATATATGAACTCCCTCTCTGAATCTATGGTGGCTAAGAGGGTTATTTTTGTCCTGGGGATTTCCAAGTCACTCTTCCCATCATAAAATTCCCTTTAGTAACAATGTACTGAGTCTGCCTTGCAGAGTGCCAATTGTTAATTACCATGCTATTGGTTTTTGGATTCTGACAGAAACAAAATATACTTTGACCTTAACAACTACAATGGTGATCTGTTGATACTTTTTCAAAAAGTGCCTGCCAACAAAAACAAGTTGTTTTAGAGTCCCTGATCACGCGCGCGCGCGTGTGTGTGAGCGCGCGCGCAGATATAAAGAAAGTCAGATTCCCCCTCCTTCATCCACCCCCAATCATGTGCTTGTTTTTTATTTTAGAAAAATCAGAACTGTATTTCCTTTTTCACTGGAGGACTCAAGAGCCTGTGTGCATATCTGAAGCTTTTTCAGTCCATAATTGAGAGGATTTAAGTGCTGAGTCCTTTACAAAGAAACTTTTCTCTCAAGTGTTTTAGTTAAACAGACATTAACAAATTACAAACAAACAAACAAACCCACAGAATTATAAAGAGTCTAAATAAAAGCCACACCTGCTCTAATCAAGTTCCCCTTCTTGGTACTTGTGAAGTCAACATTCCACTAGTTTTCCATTCATCCATTGTTTTTCAGGATAAACAGGACCAATATTTTTAATGTTACAAACAGGTAGGATTAAAACAAAACAAAACAAAACCACCTTGTTTTCTTGTGCTGTACAAAGAAGGCCTGAATGCAAGGCATGTGTCCAGTTCTCCCGTCCCTTTCCTTCCACACACTTGGAGGTCACCTTACAGAGAAACTAAGAAACTAAAGAAACCAAGAGAACGGTGCTGCCCAAGTCAGATTCAGAAAACAAATGATTTCAAAACAAAAACAAATATAAACCCCACGTGAGATGTCAGTATTGGCAATTGCTGCAAGTTATTATTTATGGAGGGCTGTCAGAATGATGGATACTGAACCAACAAGAAGTAGATAGATATTACGCTTCACACACAAACTATGGCTCAGTCTCAAATACTGTGTACACTGTGCATGAGGAGAAGTCATCACTGACAGGCTTAGTGGATCAAATGTTTTTAAAAGTTGAAAGGAGAGAAGTGAGTCCAAGCATAGGGGGCAGCATTGAAGAAAATGTGAGGGAAGTTGGGAGGGGCTTACGAGGAGCAAAAACAATGGGAGGGAAAAGCAGGCAGAAATGGTTAGAAGAGTTTGAACTTGCTTCCTCTTGCCTACCTGAGCTATATCAAGAAGAAGCTAAGAAGGGACTGTAAAACAATTACAAGCATGTAAGTGTTTTGTGTAGTTTCTTTCTTTCTAACTTGACTTCTTTCTTTTGAGTCTCACAGCTCTGGAAAACAAAATCAAGGTGGGACTTGATTGCTGAATGGGATATTGAGCTTTTTAAACTTTAATACTCCAACTCAAATCCTGCCCACCTCAGCACATGCTTAACGCTACCATTTGATGGATCTTTAGTGGAATATGTAAAATAAGATGGCTGTGCGAAGCCACAATCCACATCAGAAAACCATCACCATAATTAGCAACATTGTTGGATATCTCAGCAAAAAAAACAAAGGACTGACATACCTCTTCTGTCACTCTTAGAGCTCATCATACCAAAACTGAATGGAGGTAGAGCAACACTGTAATAGACTCTCCTTTACCAAAGGGATCACAGGCTGCTTGATATCACTTTATTTCTCTCAGAGTTACAATGTAATCTTAAATGTGAGCACTGTTGGCTGCTGCAACCCTGGCAAGGTGCAGTCCCAACCCCAAACACACACCCTGCCCCTGAACCTGAAGCCATTATGACTCATGGTATCACATGGGGGACTTGTGCACTGTTGCCAGGTGTGGTGGCCACAGAGTTTGTTTGCAAGGCAAACTGACATTAGTAGCGGTCACTGCTGCTGGGGGCTGGCTGTCCAAGCTGCATCTGCTCCTCCCTCTATACACCCTCAGTGCTGTCACCGTATCTCCTCACCTGAGTGGGCATCAGCAGTTCCCCTTCTTCAGCTTGCCACAGCTCCACCACGCTGGGGATTGGGTCAATAGCTAAACAAGCCAAACAAAACAACACACACTAAAATAACTAATCACATTTTAAATGCACGAGAAAGCTCTAACAGCAGCATTTCATGTTTCTCTTTTCCCCAATGCTGAAAAAAAGTGTCCATATTAAAAGCAGCACAGGCTGGTGACATCTAAAGTGGGCAGGCAAAGCTGGCACATAAGGGTGCCTTCTGAGCCAATTTGTAGCAGCGGGTAAAGATCATAATGTGTCTGACTCCAAACAGGGGGTGGTTAATGCCTACCCTGAGGAGCCTCTACTGATTAAAAAGGAGGGTCTCTTTTCCGTGCAATGTCAGCGTGTGTGCAGCATGGTATAGCTGGGAGAGCGAACCACAAGGATGTGGGGTTGGGAAGGGGGAAATTCATGGCTTATTTCGCTGTAACGCTGGCTCGCAGTTTGTTACAAGGTTGCAACTGCTTCTAGCATTAAAAGATGGGCCAAACCCGAGGACTCCAGCCACAACAGCAGAGCCAGAAACAATGCTGCAGGAAGCGAAGTCCTCCTCATTCTTCTCCCCTCTATTTCGGGGCTGGGAACCATTACAGCCAACACAAAGCTGGGGGCTGTGCTCGAATCGCACGCACAAAAGGATGGCGAGAAAGGGAATGGCTTTGCAATCAAAATCGATTATGCTGGGCGGTGCTCGAGCAGGGCTTTCGCCTTTGCTTTGCCCATGCACAGCCCCTCTGCTCTCCTCCACCACCTTATTTACAAGCAGCAACCCGCTTCCCCCCATCTGCGAATTCCACCAGCCCCTTTCCCTTACGCTGATTTACCAGCGCTTACCTTGGCCCTGTGCTTCTCCCGGGCGAAAGCAGGGTAAGAGGACCTGGAAGACGCCTAACAAGAGGTTCATGGCCGTGGCTGCGCGGCAGTAGCTGCCTTGCTGCGGGTAGCGCAGCCCCGCCATGCTGGTGCTCTGCTACTGCGTGCTGCTCCGAGACTGTGGGCTGCAGGCTGCTGCTGCAGCCGCCGCCTCGCTCTGCTCTGCGCGTGTGTGCCACAGAGATAGGGAGGGCTGGGCGCTGCGCGGCCCGGGGTGGAACATTGACAATGAGAATGCAGCCTGCACGCGGGGCCCCGCCCGGCTGCCGCCGCCGCTCTTGCAGAGCACATGGCAGAGGGGCCAGCCAGAGCTTGGGAGACGGGGGGAAGAAGGTAAATCTTCAGCCAACACTGGCCCAAATCCTGCCCGCCTTACTTCGGCTCGCTGAGTTCAGCAGAAGCCGTGCCCGAGTCAGGAGAGCAGTATGGGGCCTATTGTCTCAAGCTAGGGGAAATACAGTTTCTCAACGCTGTTCTCCATGGGGTTTTAAAATGTTAATAGATGCACCCCTTTTACCCACGCCCTTATATCCAGACACACATTTATACACAGGCGGAGTAGTGTGTGTGTGTGGTGGGGGGAAACACACAATTGCATATAAAAATGGTGTCAAATACAACTGTATTTGCATTCCAGCTAGTGGAATATATAAGCAAATTATCACCTTGATGTGTCGGTCTTACACATACACACAAAGTAATTTGTCTGCTTATTCACGGTACCACTTCGAAAGCAAATTGCATTCTGGCCTGATGTGGTGCAAGCAATTTGTTACATGCCAGCACCAGGTGACAGCTCTTCAGGACTAAATTATTCTGCACACACATTCCTCCCAACTCCAGTCTCCAATCACTAGCAGAGGAGTGTTTAATTTTGTGTGTATGTGCACATGCATGCGTGTACACACATGCTACAGAGAATTTTTATTGCCCACAAAAAACAAAGTCTGCATAGAAAGCATTAATGGAATGGTGATTAAAACTTACAGGAAGGGGAAAGGGAAGTATATCTGTGTGGCCTCTTGCCAATTGTTGCAGTGAGGATATCTGGTGAATTTGACAAGCTGTTACTAGGGGTGACAAGACACTGACTGCTTCCAGAGGACTCAGGAGTCTGACCTCAACATAATATAAAAAAGGGGAGACCTCATGCTAAGGCTTCAGCTTATAACAGGTGTTGACAGAAATAGACTAATGCAGAGCTCATGTGGAATGTGGACAACCTCACTTTCAGATGCAAAAGTCATGGGAAACCCTTTCCTTCAAAGTAAAACTACAGAGACTTACCCCATTTCCTGTTAAATAATTCAGAGAAAACAAATCATGGTGGTATTTTTCTATGGAAACCAACCATTTATTTATTTAACTATATAATAAATTCTGGATTGCTCACCAGTTTGTTTACATGGTCTAGGAATATTTCTCGATGCCTAAACTTCTGATCCTGATGCTGTCAAACATAGAGGATGCTTGAAAGTCAGAAGACAGAAGTGATGCAACTGCACACCTGTCAAGCAACATTAATTCTTAAAATTAGGGCTAGATAAACACTTCTAGCTTTATTACCCTCTTGAATATTTTGAGGATCAAAAGCTCAACTAATGTTGTTTGAAAAAATGGATCAAAAGAGTGGATAGAGCTAAAAACAGTGAGATAGGCTGGGGAGGGAAAACAGAACATTGAGAGGAAGCAGGGGAAAAAACCCCTCTTGGTTTAGCCCACATCTGCTGACCTTCAGGGCAGATATGCTGAAGAGGGCTGCTGAAGAAGCAAATATTGGATGTGATATTTAGAGAAAAGTCAAGAATTTGGTTTATTTTTATGTTACTTGGTTACTTAGCATTATTACATGTAATGGGGTTGCTATTTCTTTTTTGTTCTATTGTATTTTTGAGTAACTGTCATAGGCAACTACAGTATTCAGATAAGGCCCTCATCTTTATTTTATAAGTCTGAAGCCGACATAATGTATAAAATGCAGTCCAGATACTGTATAGAACTCACCCATTTTAACAATATATAGCTTCCAACATGTACTCTAATCATACCACCACATAGCATAGCTTTTCCTCTAGCTAGTAATACTTTAAACAAATATTTTCCAAATTCAAACTAGTTTTGCAAATCTTAAAAAAAACCCAAACACCCAGCTAACAAGTGCAAATGTGGTAGTTAGAAAAGACATAAATAAAGCCAAACAATTTACAAGATCCTGTTTCATCTCTTGACCCAGGCTCTGTATAAATCCTAATAGGAACTCCATTAGTCATTGCTATCAGTAATAATTCTCTAAGAGGTAAACAACAAACAGTTATATATGGCCATCTAGGTCTTTATACTTGTTAGTCATAAAATGCTTCTCAAATCCATGGGCCTTTTGGATAGCAACTTTTCCAAGAGTTCATGCTTGAAACTTATTAAGTGTTTCTACATTCGCTGAAAAAGCAACATTGGATCTTGACACGTTTGTCCCCCAGTAAAACAGAAGACTTTTCTTTTTGCCTATCATGCATACAGACTCTGTATGCTAACTATATTTTTTACCCTTACTTATTTCCTCCTCTTCCTTCTCCCTCTATTTTATTTTTTCCTTTTCCCATTCTCTTTCTATAATGCTGTTCTTTTTCCAAACATCTTTCCTGTCTTCTGTTCATTCCTCCAGCATCACTAATCAATCACTTTTCACATACTGTACACTCTTACATTCCATCTATACTAGGAAACTAAGGCCTCATTTACACACAAAAGCTGCACCATTTTAACTATAGTAGTATACTTAAAGTGGTACAACCCCACTTCATGTGAATGCAGTTATACCGGTATAAATGTATTTACCGTATACTGGTATAGTTTATTCCTGTACAAGAAGGGGAATAAACTATACTTGTTGTAGGAGCAGCAGTGATCTGTATGCTATGTATAACTATGCTATATATAGCCTGTATGCTCAAAAGGTCTGTTACACTCCCCCCCTCCCCTTTTGTCTCCTCTCCCTCTCTGAATACCTGTGAAGGGCTTTCCCCCTCCCCATCCCTCCTGGAATGCTTCTGGGATGAATGAACAGCTGGAAGATCAGAATTGCTTCCAGGTAGACAAGGTGTCTGGGACTCTAATTAGACAGCACTCACATACCCAATGTATGGACACTGCCCGAGGTGGAGTGTGACCAATTAGACGCGGCCAAGTCATCTCTAGTCACAGGCCATGACACTCTGATTAGGCAGTGATCACACATCAAGTGCATGGACACTGCCCGAGGTGGAGTGTGACCAACCAGATGCAGCCAAGTCATCTCTAGTCGCAGGCCAGGAGGAGCAGGTCCTTAAAAGGGGAAGGGGCCACAAGCTTGTACCTCCGGTGAACGCCCTTCTCTGGGAAAGGTTCCCTGCATTGTGCCTCGGGAAGACTTACCTTCATCACTCCGTCCATCACTGCGCTGTGGGACACTTACCTTCAAGGATCATGCCTGCCTGTCTTGGGAGCGTAAGTATGCGAGTTTGAGCATGACTCTCCCCCCCCCACTTCCTTTGAGGTTAAGTATCAGTATAATAAATGTGCTGCTTTCTGCCAAGTCTGGTGGGTCCTCCCTAAGCTTACTAACTGCCCAATTTCAGGTAACAATACTGGTATAAGACACCTCTCTAGGGCTAGGTCTACACTATGGGGGGGTGGGGGTCGACCTAAGATACGCAACTTCAGCTACGTGACTAGAGTAGCTGAAGTTGCATATTTTAGGTCGACTTACCTGGCTGTGAGGACGGCGGCGAGTTGACCGCTGCCGCGCCACCGTCGACTGCTGCTGCGCCGCTGTTGACTCCGCTTCCACCTCTTGCTGCGGTGGATTTCCGGAGTCGACGGCAGAGCCATTGGGGATCGATTTTATCACGTCTTCACTAGACGCGATAAGTCGATCCCCAATAGACCTGGTTTTAGGAGATTTAAGATGATCTGACCTGTTTTGACTGAACTGGTTTCAAGACTACCTGAAAAATAATTCCTAGGAGAGTGAAGGGAAAGGGTGATAAGTTTGGTGCAGGGTTGTTTCCATGGATGATATCAAAGGACCAACTCTGTGAATGGAGAGATTGTATGAGCATCTGTGGGGGTTGGAGCAGTCACGTATTGCTTTCAACTTAGATATGACTGAGCAGGATTGGAGGGAAATAAGGGTTAAGATAAGTAGGTACCATTTCCTGCTGTAGAGAACTATATTGTATAACACAGACATCAGCAGGGAATAGGCAGTATAATTATTTTCTCCTGCTCTCATGCCTGTGTCATCTGTGCATCACTGTACCAGTAAAAATGCTGAGGACTGTTTTTCTTGCATTAAATGGCAAAACAGAATGAAGTGTGCTTGAAGCTAAATAAGAGCAACATATTACTTACATGCTGTGGTCCAGTGTATGAGCCAATAGGCACAAGGTAATACAAATGTTTTAGTCATAGTGCCCAATATGTAATTTATTGCCACTTGAAGCTTTTCTTTTTTTGTTCTTACACTGCAGTTACTGATTCCAGCCCCTGTCCAAATGTCTGCCATTCTGAGTCCATTTTCACAGCATGGCACAGCCAGCCACTGTGCACTCTGAGCCAGGTACTTCTGCAGTGAGTGGGAGCAGCAACTCATGTAGGTGAAAAGGGGTTGCTGACCCTGGAGAATAATGGGAGAACCAAACTAGGCAATCTAGAGAGAAGCTTGACAGCTGCCACCTCTGCTGTGGAAGCAGAGAGAGGATGGAACAGTGAAGGCAGGGGAAATGGAGGTGGATACTGTCACTTCCTCCACTCTTGCACATGAGTCTATATCTGTCTTGCACTAATAGCAGCATTCATAAGATGTTGAAAACCCACCCAGGCCCCAGACTGCAAAAATCAGCCCCTATTGGCCAATCCAAAAAAGCCTGCACCCCTGCTGGAGAAGCCCCTCATCCCAGATTCCTTCTCCCTCCTGAATCGGCTTGACCACAGTCTCCAGGTCCCCTTCCTCCCGCCTACCCTCCTCCCCCAATTCCTGGCAACATCTGTGGCATCTTCCAGTCTCACTCCTCACCCTGTTGGCCTGCTTGATTCACCAAGCCATTGTTCTCCATTTTCAGTGTTTTCATAATGCATTTAGATTACTATTACTTCCTCAAGCATTAGGATTTGGGAGTGGCACAGAATTTAGAGGGCAAGTGT